CAAAGCATGAGATTAAGCATGAGCAACACAGCCACTGAAAGACAGGGCATTTCTCCTGTAATAGGGAAAATATGAGTCACCTCGGAAGTGTCATCGGTCTGTCTGGCAGGTGGGGAACAAATTGAAAAAACAGATTTCTGTATGTGACCAACAAGAGCCAGAACCCTCCTCAACAGTGCACTGACTATAACTCACTAACATTCACAATTGTGCACATGCTTTTGATGGACTGTACATGGATATACTGTATGTAATGGACAATTTCACTCCTCTTGGATATCTGAAGCAATATCACAGTGTTTTCACTTTTTTGTTTAATTCCTACTGGATTTTGAAATAAAAAAATAGTTTCCGCCTTCAGTTTATTTCAGTACTTCACGAAACAGTTATAACAGGAATTACGTCAGTGTGAAGTGTTCAGTGCGTCACTACTAAAGTAGTGCGCTCATAATCTCATCAGAAATGAAATGGCTTTACAATAGTTTTTTTTATATCTGTTATGCTAAGACATCCATTTAGAAATCATTTGTAAGTACTTTAAATCTGAGAAATTTATTTCTATCTTTTAATAATATTGCCATGAACACTTGTAAAATATATAGAAAACAAGTGCAATGATCAGATCTTGGATAATCTTAAAATGCAAAATAACAGTGAAACCTGCTGTGGAAAGGTTATCAACTCTTCCTCTGACATTTTCAATTATTACAATCTTCTATTATTAACACTGTCAGCCAGTGTTGAATGGCTATTAGTGTTTGTTATACAAACTGTCTGCATTCATTTTGTACTTCTCTAACTGAATAAATTAGTTGAATTCAATTCTAAACAGATGTTTGCAAATTCAGATTTATAAAATTGGAACTTTTTCTTTGTATTATCCTTCCCAGAATGGAACTATACTACTGTGATTGCTAATGATTATGTTAACAAAATTATGTTATTTTACAATGGTGTGAATATTTCACTGTTTGTAGCCCTTAAGGGCTATTTGACAATGTCTAACTGTGTCTAACCACACACATTTTTTATCCATTCCTATGATATCTTTAAAGAACACTGTTGTGTTCTGTTCTGCCTTCTTGCCTTGAACCAGTTCAATAAAAGCGCTTCTAAAAAAGAATGTTTGAGTCTAGTCTAGCGAAGATGACTCTCTGATATCCTTAGGGATAGAGATCCAGAGCTTTAGGACAGAGCAGAAGGCCCTGTCACCCATAGTGTAAACAGATTGGGGGACAGACAGGAGACTAGAAGAGCAAAGGTTGAGATGTGGGGAGTAGGACAATAGCAACAGGTAGGTGCTGAGGTGCCAAGCCATGCAGTCTTACAGGTGAGCACCAGGATTTTTAAATCAACAAGAAACCCACAGGAAGCCAGTGCAAGGAATCCAGGATAGGAGTAATGTAATCCTTTGCACTAGAACTGGTCAGGATTCTGGACATACTGTAGTTTGTTCAATGTGGTTTTAGTTGTAGGGCTTTACGGTAGGCAAAAAGAAAAAAAATGAAAAGTGTTGACCAGCTTTTCAGCAACAGTTAGCAACAACATAAGACATAGTTTGGCAATATTTCTAAGGAGGAAGAATTATATTTTGACAATGTGTTGCAAATGTGGTCAAACGTCAACCCTGGATTAAATATCACCCCCAAGTTCAATTTAGACTGAAGCTCAAGTACTGTACATCATCTAGAGATAGTGTTACTGCATTGGCTTTAGATAGTTGATGGGGCATGCCAAGAAGCATAACTTGAGTCTTGACTAAGTAATTCAAACTTCATCAGTGTTAGCAAGATACTGAACAGTCTTGTGTTCACTAGTATCTAATTTCTTAAATGAAATTATTATAATGCCTGTGATTGGCTGGTGTACCCCCACCTTGCGCCCGCTGCTTTACCCGGACAGACTCTGGCTCCCCTGTGACCCCGTATTAAATAAAGTGGTTAGAAAATGAATGGAATCATTATAAAGTATTACTTGGTGCTGGGAATTAATCTGAATGACGCTAATACTAAGAAATAACAGCAGTTTCAAGATTACTTTCATGTTTTCAATCATGGAATATCAAAAGGAAGCTATGAACATATTTTTAAATCTCGTGTGCCTCAGTATTCATCACATCAAGAGATCAGCTGAACTCCTCTGTCCCATCTCCTTTGAAATGTTTTCCCCAGAACACTGACAGTTTTTATAGATATCTTTAAAGTCCTCCAATACTTTTCTTATGTAAGGCAGTTTTTAAAAAGACTTTCACTTTCAATGACATTTTCAAAAGATGAATCACTTCTTTTTGGTTGGATGAACAGAGCTACATATCAATGTACAAAAATAAGAACAGCGATTCCAAAAAAGCCCTCTAAGGAAAAAACAGTACAGTTTATACTGCATTGGCTTTCTTTTTACGATCTAATGAAAAACAAATCGGCTTTACAGAACTGCATATAAAAATTATATACTTTTAAACATAAAATCTTAGGGTTGTGTGATAGACAATACAAAGTTAAAAGCTTTATGGGAAAAATAAAGTAAGAAAAGGAACAGAGATTATTCTGTATTAAATATCACAGAATGGTGAAGGGGTTAAAAGACAAAAGCTAGTTAAAGCTGTTGAAGCTGTTCAAACAGAACAAAAGGAATGATTCAGATAGACCCAGTTTTCTCAAAAGGCAAAAGAATATAAGAACATAAGAATGAATACAAATGAGAAGAGGACATTCGGCCAATCTATATTGTTTGGTAAATCAGTAGCGAATTGATCGATGGATCTCACCCAGCCCTTTTTCTTGAAAGAAGTCAGGTTATCGGCTCTAGCACAATGTCTACATAGCTTGTCCCATACTCCCACAACCCTTTGGGTAAAGAAGTACTTCCTGTTCCTGTTTTTTTCTACATACAGTATTTAAAGTATGCACCTCTACATAAACTCTACTTCTAAACTCTGGTTCATTTTTCACTGTTTAACTTTATAACAGCTGTGAAGTCGAATAAAAAACAGATGTATATGAAAGATTACTTTATCGAGTCTTATTTGAATAAAAAAAATGCAACAGTCTGACATCCACTTGGATGTTCCAGAGATACAAAAAGCAATAACATTTAGGCTTTGCACATCTCTGCAATCACATAAAAGGCACTTTTTAATATGGGCTCTGCATCATTCTGATGTCACATTATCAGATATGAAATCACATTCATCTGCCAGTCTCTCCGACTTCAGGAAATTAAAGGGTCTGTGTGACTATGAGTAATCTGCACCTGCTTGCATCATTAGGTCTAATTTCAGTGGGTTTTCTTCCTCTACAGCAGATCAAAGTGCTTTTTTAATTATTAAGGCTTTTAAAAATGGCAATATATTTTCTTTTAAAAACTATCTGCATTTGCATATTATATTTCTTCCCAAAATGTTGAAAGAGCAAATATGGGGTCTTTACACAGTAATATGGAAATGTCATTTATAATCCTACACTCCTGTGACTAAAAGCAGACGATAACATTTCTAGTGCTGCTTAAAGGATATGCGTCTGTAAGGTTCTTATCTGTTGAGCCAGCACTAGGGCATGAAACAGGAGGTTAGCAGTGTGCAAGACATTTAAATATCAAAAGCATAAACAAAGCTTTTTTGAATGCTTGCCTGAGACTACACATCAAGCTTCTCATGAGGTGAATGTACTCAGAATGTTTTTTCAGTGTGATAAAAGTTCTTAAATGAGAGATTTTCACAGTGTAGTTGTGAACACTAACTTGCAGTGTGAAGAAAACCCAATTTGCTCTAGTTTGACTGAATGTCAACCAGTTTCCAGGGAAAGTATCGTCCAAAGCACAGAGGCTTAAAAATTGATTGTATTCTAAATGACAAATTCACTGTCCTTCTCTGTACTCTTCTTCTTGTGCAGCTAAATGCAAGCAAATATTCTAGATTTCAGAGCAATGACACTGTAGTTTTGGAATTTTGCATTCGGTTTTCACTGCATATCCAAGTGTTGTGATAAGAATTTTTCACTTGTGAATAAACATACACATCTAGGTTCTTTCTTTATGTGGACTGTTCTGTTCTGCCTTCTTGCTTTTAATATTTACATTATCTGCCTACATGTACAGTAGTAATGTTTCATTTTGTGTATTATTCTGGGTTTTGTAACCCTGTCCAGCCCAACACATGCAATCTTGACAAGCTCGACGATATTATCAGAGTTCTTTATGCACATAAGAAAGACTAATGGTTCCAATACATATCCTTATAGAACTCCATCATGCACCTCACTCCAGAATAAAACAGTAATCTTATCTCTTGGAAGTTCACGGTTTTCTTTTCAATAACCGGTTCCCCATCTAAAAGCATGTTCTACGTTGTATCTCGATGTGCTCCGAAGAGTAAAACTGTGACATTCACCGACTTCACATCATTTATTTGTTAAGAACAACTGTATGCGTAAAGCCATCCCTGACCATATCCATCCATTCATGCTTTAACTGCACTATCCAGTACAAGGTCGCAGCGGAGCCGGAGTCTATCCCAGCCAGCAACAGGTGCAAGGCAGGATACGCCCTGGACAAGACAATAGTCCACAGACACACACTCACACCAGGACCAATTTTCCCAGAAGCCAATGAACTTACCAGTATGTCTTTGGACTGTTGGAAGAAACTGGAGTACCAGGAAGAAACCCACAGGAACACACAGAGAATATACAAACTCCACACAGACTCTGGGAGGCAGCAATGCAAAGCATTGAGCCGCCCTAGCTGAGCATAAAAATACGATAAATCGGCGAAAGTATGGCTGTTTGGTGTAACGGATTGAGACACACATGGATTTATGTATCAGAAAAATTCAACTCGGATGGGCACTCCGACTGGATGGCTCATGCCACTAGTGGGCCTGGACCTGTCAGTACTGGACACATACTCCTCCTCTGGTCAGGCCTGTGTAGTTCGAGCACGAACTGCAGCCATCACCAGAGAGCCAAGTCTGAAATTTTGAACAGATAAATGAACCACTAGTGTTTTCAGTAAATACATTTATTGTATTGAAATGTCCACCCAATGTTACTAAAATGTCACATTTTGCAACAAAGACCAATACAAAACCTTAATCAAATATATAATAATATGAAGATATGATAATACTTTAAGATTAAAAAACTAGTACATACTGTAGGCATCTCTACTCATAGATATTCATATAACAACAAACAACATTAATAATACACAAAACACAGTCATCAATGCATAACAGGGGATTTATCAGCCTCATACAATCAAAAATAACTGATTACCAATAAGTAAAGATATAATTCATATGCATTTATGTGCCATAATGTTTTTATCAAAAGGATCAAACTCAATAAATACCCAAAAGACAAAATTAAAACTAAATGATTTGCACGACCTTTTCAGTGAAAACACATACAGATGCGGAATAATGTACTGGATATATTATTTTCCGTAATAACAACATCTCTAGATTTACCTTAAAATCTTTGGCATTTCCAGAAGGTTGGCTAGGGTAGTCCTAGCTCACTACTACTACTGATAATACATTACTGCAGTCACAAGTGATCAGGAAATGGACTTATCACATTGGTTTTTGTGCAGCATCTATGCATTCGTCTATTCTTACACTTTAAGACTATTTACAGAGACAACAAAACTGTGAAACATTAAACCCAAGGCAAAGACGGACGTTGACAACTCAACTCTAACAAGACATCTCCACGAAGCATGATGTGGATTTAGATCTCATAATTTCGGAATTTCCTCAGAAGATCAGATGGAGTATCAGCTGACCAGCGAAAACGCAAGTGCCAGTAGTTCTCATCTGAAACAGAACATCAAATAGGTTATATTCCTAATATTACAGAGTCCAAAATAAACCTGCAAAACTACTTTGGCTTCAAAAGACAGAAAATGTTCTCATCCAAAACGTAAATCATAAAAATTCCTCTCAGCTTCTAATTCTATCTTAGCTTGTTTATTAAACTTTTATGGACAGTACTTCTATATTGGTTCATAAAAAAAGAACATTTAAAATATTTCTTAAATCTTTTTTTAAAGAATTCTCAAGGCTATTGAGCCAATCGCTCAATTTAGGCCAATAACATAAGAATAGAAATGAAAATCTGGATATCCAATCCAGCTGTGCTGCAAGCTATTGTGCTGTATTTCCATTAAAAAAATGCTCATTTGTCATTAGGATTTATATCGCATTCATTACTAAAAAGCTATTCAAGGCCAATGTAAACATTATAATAGAGAAAGGATATGCTGAAACGAATGGGGAGTTTCTGCATTCATAAAGAATGTGCCTGAGGGTTCGACACACACTACTCACTTGGGGATGTTGGTGTGTTAGGAGACTGTACTCCCTCATTACCCGGGGTCTTGTCTTCTGCCTTCCCCACGTGCCAGGCCTGCTCACCACTGCCGAGAGCAGCTTTCTCTTCCGGGCCCTCCAGCATGGGCTCCTTCTTGGTGTTCACTGCCCAGTGCATTGACTAGAACCCAAGTGCATCATACAAACCAATCACATGCATGAACCGCTTATTTTCACTTCATGCTCTCGTGTGTGCTCTGCATGGTGCTTTGGTACTGATTTTCGAGGACTGTACTACTGTATGGGCACTTCTATCAGAGAAAACAAGATACAAAGTTCTCATTTACATAAGATTCATTATAAAATTTTAGACTGTGAGTTGTAACAACATTAAGCATCTCCCTCCTTTTCAATTTTTTGTAAATGTTCAAACAAAGGGAGCTTGCTCACCATTTCTACTCATTTAATTTGAGAAATATTTACAGCTGGACGTGTACATCTTCCTTCTGGCAATCATCATTCCTCAACCAGAACGGATAGTGACATGGATATAATAGAATAAAACAATAAGAACATCCATAATAGAATACGAACTGGAAGCAACATGTTACTTGCTTCGCAGTATTTTGAAGTACCTTTTATCTGATATTTTTAAATATGAGAAAATTAGTTTTTAAAGCTGATGCTGATGCTGATGGCTTCAACAGGCAACGAGAGTACGAAGGATTCATCAAAACATTATAATGAAAATTTGCATTTCTGCTCATGTGAAAATTCTCTTCACATTATAAAAATCCAAGTACCTGGTTTACAATTATTCATTCTTTCTGAAGAACCATCAGTCATTGCTTGACTGGATCAACATATGTATGAAATCCATTAACTGTAACACACATAGAATAGCTTACGTTTAACTACACAAAAGATCTGGAAATTATTTAAAAAGGGGATGCTTTGTAGACTGTATAATTCTTCTCTCATCAAAAGAGAGATGTACACCTCCTCTTACACTATGCAGACAATGAATATTAATCATTATGATACTGAATGACTCATATTAGAGTAGGATGGTAACGGTAATTAAGATGTGGGTTCTTTCTCAAAATTAATAACAACAACACAGATAGGGTCAGTGCTTACATAATTTGCCTTTGCCTGGACTACAGTGTTAACTAGTAGGATTATGAAATCTGGTGATCAGTGATGAAAGATTCTTCAATTAATTACATTTGTTTGTGAACTATTTGCACTTAATTTACAATAACCAATAACCCTGTTATTGTGAATTGGTCAGGACACTGAGTGGAGACGTTTGGTGGTTAATGACAATCAAAAGACAGAATTGTGTTGTTCTAATTTTTGAAAAGACTATGATGTTTTTAAAATAAATGCAAACGAAAAGGGGCTTGGAATAGGATGAATGAGCACTCAATACATGTTAAGAGAAGTGTCTGCTAAACAAGTGTAAATCAATTATATTTATTAAGGATAAATTAAAAGATTTTCCCTTCCATCAGATTTGGAGAGTTTAGTCTGTATGTTCTGACCCGCATTTTGAAAAACTGGTATGTTAGTACTCACAGTTTTGACAGAGTCGCTGAGGGCTTCCCAGTCATGGAAGGGGACTGTGATTCTGCTGCGTCGCCAAAAGTCATAACGGGCTCTACTGTCTTCATTAGTCAGGACTTCTTTGGCTTCCTGCAGCTTTTGAAAGTTTTCTACTAAAAAGAGACAAAGACAATAACATACAAACAATGTTGGTCCACAACTGCACTGAGACATTGATCATATTGACAATATATTTACACTCAAACCCCAGGAAAGAAGTTTTTATTGCCCTACCTTTTTAGTCCCTTGGTATTGGCAGCCATTTTGAAAAGTAATTCTTAGCAAGTTGTTTCAAACTTGGTCTTAAGTTGCATCAAAGTACACGTTCTCAAATTTATTTTACAGGTCAATATGTGTGCAACACTGCGAACATGAGAATATGCAAAAATGTTGTCTTTTCTTTTTAGTACAAGCAATATTTGTATCAATGCTGAGTAAAATATATTCTCAGACCACTATACAGAGAGACTCTGGGTTGCAAACAATCCATTACCCATTACCCAAACATTTTAAGCACAAGGCATCATAGGCATCATACAAAACAGATAAGAATGTTGAAATGTTCAACTGTCCATTGTAACCTCTAAAAAAAACTTTTTCTTCAGGGCCCTTTATATCCAAGCATCTATTTCATGACATTTCTAAAACATAAAACCCTGTCAAATTTAAATGTGAACTGGCACTTTTTTGACAGACTTTTTTTTGCCCCCACTTTTGTTTTGACTGCAAGTTACAAATTCTAACAGGACTATTGCTTATTCCAGAGGAATTGTGTTTAAAATGTGTTTTAAACAAGGAGATGATTAAAAGAAATAGAGGAAAGTAAGTTTACAATAAGTAGGAGTTTAGAAAGGCCCATAAACTTAACTTCATATTATTGTAAATTACCTGACAGTCAATCTGGTATCTTTACCAAACTGAAGTTCACCTATTAAGAATGTATTATATCATGTACAGTGCATACTTAATGCATTTATTGCATATTTGTGAAACAAATAAGGCACCCTTTATAATATGCAGTTTTGCTAAACAATATGCAACAACAATTTCTTATTGAATTCAGCAGCAAGGTACAATCTTGATAATATTGCCCACAGTGATGCTCTGTCGAGGTGCTGTCTGAGAAAGAGATGTGAATTAATTACTTAAGGGTCATTAGATGGCACCATCAGAAAAGGGTGCTTTTGTTCTAGTGCAATTATGTCAATTTTCAAATATAAGACTCAAATATTTCACTGACAAGGTTGCTATGTTTAATGAGAAAAAATGGAGTGCCTTTGAAACAGAAACAGTCACTTTATTAAAAATATTATACTAAAATGTCCCTTCACATATTCCAATTTTCATGTGATGAGCTGTAAGAAACACAATAAGACAGTTAATAAGGAACATGAGACATTGGGCTTTGCTGATAATCACAATTACAATAATTGGTTTTACTCTAGTTGTAATGATAATTTTGTTTCAGTCAGATTAACTGCTCTTCCCTTTACATAATAGCTTCCAATAAATTTTTTGACAGCTAATTTATTACCTTAAACTGTTATGAAAATCTATCATGAGATTGCGTGGTAACACTGTGGTATCAGGACTCATGTGTTTTAAATGTTATATAGTATAATGTTTCTCTTAAAACACATAGGATTGTAAATGTAAAAAACACAAAAATACCATAAATACAAATCAGGATTTAACACTTGCTTCTGCATTTCCTATTCCTTGGAGCCTCAACATGTACGGTATGATTCCTTAAGATGTTCCTTCCCTGCATCATAAATTACAATACTGTGGCATCTAGAAGCTCCATTAGTTGTCTTATGGACAGGAATTTACCAAAGGCTTGCAAACATAACGCCTTCAACAATGTTATATTGGTTTAACTAACAAAATAAAAATTAAACTGCAACCTTCAGGGATCCTGTGCCATGCATGCTACTTGGAAAAAACAAACCACATATCTTTAAATAATGGAGAACCAAAGCTTTTTCAATGATTTAAGATTTATCAATGTATTAAAAACATCAACAGGATAAAAGGTGCAATTCTGTTATGGATAAATATAGAAGATTGTTCTTTGTTTTAAAGGAAGAGGTTTGCAAAGGTAAAATTAAAACGATATTGTTCAGTATGGTCATAAGAAAAACAGTTCTCAAAGAGCTCCAATGACAGGTGGACTATTAGTTTTAAACAAAATTATTATTCAAGCATTTTCCCAGACAATTGGCTGCAATTACAGCCATTTTCCCTTCACTGTATGTTTGGCATCAATGGCTCCCTTAGTCATGGCTGTCACTCACATCACATTTGTCAGGGCTCATCTCCCATCAAGTAAGGAATGAGTACCAAATCCTGAAGGTCATGAATTTCACATCTAGATGACTGTACCCTGTACCCTAGGCCAGATCTTGAATAACACACACTTCCTGTACCCTGGAACATACTGTGGCGATGCATCTGAGCCCAGTGAAGGGAACAATAGATGCTGTAAGAGAAATCAGCTAACCCAATAACTGCAAAAATAATAAATCACAGTAAAGAACTTCAGATCTACAGAATTAGTCTACATCAGTAGTGGACATTGCAGCTTCATTGACAATAGGAAAGGAAGAGGTCAGTTTTACAGCATCTGTTTCAAGGGTTAAGGCTTGCATTTCAATCCCAGCTAGGGCAGTCTGGGACTGCAGTTCTGAGGCAGGATCAAAAGTTAATTTCAACTGCAAAGAAGGAGATGAAAAAGTGAAAATATAAATATTCACACTAAATGTGAACACATTTACTTGTCACAGTTTAAAATGTTATTCAGTTACACTGCTTAGTGCATGTGAACATTGCAGAAAACACAGTAGAAGAGTAAATACCTGCTTTGGGATTTTCCGGATGCTTGTCTGGGTGACATGCTAGAGCTCTGACTTTGAACTCAGCCAAGATCTGGTCCACCTAGAAAAGAAAAAAAATCATTAATGTTCCTTTGACAGAAATGTAAATCATATAAAAACAACAAAAATGTTTTTTTTTTAAACTTATCTGGGTGGCTTTACTGATTCATGCAGCGATTGTCAGTTTTGTGCACTACTGTGTACACAGTTGGAGCACTAATTCACACCTCAGTTTAACAGTACAACTGGATACTTTCCAGTATTCTGACAAACGTAGGGATATTTAACATTATTCCAGTAAAAAAAAAAAGATTTCTGGTAAAATGTAACATGTAACAAATGTAACGTGAAGATCATTCACTATTGTCAGTCTTTGCTCCATTTCTTGACTAAGCTTGCTTTCTTCTTGTCCTATGAAACTAATAAATAGCTATATTTTTATTTCATTTTATGCAACTGGTTTAACTGAAACATTTCCTAACAAAATGTATAATCTTAAGTCAGTTCTGCAATTCCGATTACAATACCTTGGGAAGAATCAATTGGTCCTGTTTTGGCAACACAGCAAAAAAAATACCATATTTGTGCTTCTTTACAAATTGGAGTTCACGTGCAACATCTATGCATAAAAGGAATGACATCAAACCAGAGACACAAGTAAACACGTCAGTTTGCGTCCTTCTAGCTTCTCTCATACATACAATCTACTTCCTTTCTTGTCTCAGAGTCTTATCAGAAATGTTTTCCATTGATTTGCACCTGAAAGGATTATCTATGAGAAAACTGCTTGCTTTGAAGAAGAGTGGAAACAAGCACTCTGGTGAATCTAAACGGAGAACAATCTTCATTGTGTGCAAAGCCAACGTTGTGCACGTCATATCTGCAAAATGCTTGAATGGTCCTGAATTATATAATTTGTATGCATACCCATAAAGGGTGGAAAATGGTGTTTATTTCGCTGGTGATATGCAAATTAGAGAACTCTAATGACATTATCACACTTTTTCCTGCCTATGTTACATAAGGTTTGAAGAAGCGGCAGTGACCTTGAGTAAATGAAAGAAATCCAGGGAACCATGAGCAGAATGTGTTTTGTTGAACGTCAACAGACATGAAATGACGTTAAGAGCTGAACAGCCCTCAGTTTTCTCAGATTAGAGTTGTGCATAGGTGTCAGGGAAGCTGATCTGCAAGTGTCCAGAACATAGATGGGTTTGGTAGACTGAAAAATCCACACATATTGTGATGAGACAGACTATGGTTTAGGGCACCTTAAGGCTGCTGTTTGTGTGGCGTGAGCAGAGTACAGTAGATGCTGAGGAGTGCTGTTCAAACTCAATAAATACCCAAAAGACAAAATTAAAACTAAATGATTTGCATGACCTTTTCAGTGAAAACACATATAGATGCGGAATAATGTACTGAATATATTATTTTCCGTACTAATAACATCTCTAGATTTACTTAAGATCTTTGGCATTTCCAGAAGGTTGTCTAGGGTAGTCCTAGCTCACTACTACTACTGATAATACATTCCATTTCCTGATCACTTGTGACTGCAGTACTTATCACATTGTTTTTTGTGCAGCATCTATGCATTAGTCTATTCTTACACTGTAAGACTATTCACAGAGACAAAGAAACTGTGAAACATTAAACCCATTGTAATTACAGTGTCCAAAAAACACCCCCATCTCATCCATGTGCTAGACAGCCACTGTGTACTGTAGCTGGCTTCATGCCTAATCATGACTAGAAGCTTCTGGAACTCATGATGCTACATCTGTAATCACAAGCCGATAGCTGAGAGGCTTGGTGAAAGTGCTGATAGACAGCTGTGTGGGACATCTTCAATCATGCAGAAGCTGCACACCAGCTGCACTCTGAACATTCAAGCTGCAGAACACCACTCCAGGTCTCAGAATGGGACCTTAATCGATTGACAAGGATGACTGGGCATTTAATTCACCACTGCTGACATTGTGACTTCCCATTTGTCTGTTTTGCTGTGGAGGGAGGGAGGTTAGATACAGTAAATATCTTGGCAAATGAACTCTTGTAGTCTGGACAGCTGTTGTTTGGGTCTTCACAGGTAAGCTGATCATCAAACATTTGTGGATCTCAATGTATTTTATCGTTTAATTTACAGAGTTATTTTACACTTAAATATGTAGTTTGTGACAGCATGTAGTGCGTGAAGAAATTAGCAAGGACATTTATATCATCTCACCCTAACAGCCAGTAATCAATACTAACAGAGTGTAGTTAAATATAAATAATTACTTTCACTTCTATTTTTAATTAACAACATGGATTTAAATTAATCATGGGCAGAACGTCCTCAGTAAGACTTTCTTAGTTTTTTTTCCCTCTCCAGAAATTTGCAAACAGTGAAACTGTGTACTCCAATATAACTTTTGTCGTTTAAAAACATCAATTTCAGGAATCCCAAAGCTTGAGCAGATCACCAATACATCATCATAAATAATATTACAATAAAACGGCAGCATTACCCCCAGAAATCTATAAAAATGGCAGGGTTGTTCATTCTTTTCTGTTCCATGTGAATGATACTTAGACGAAGAAGGCGTATTTTAGAATATTTTCAACAAGTACCAATTAAAACAGGTACAATCGCTTGCAAAAGTCTACATTTCCACTTACTGTCATCTATCAAAATAACTAAACATCTTCTCCACTTCCTGTTAGCTTACAATACAATGACACAAACACTGGTTTTCCATTGAAGGGATTTAAAGAAAACCAACGGGTGCTATTTCGATGCACGTTGTATATCCTTCACACCGATGGATATGTTCAATAACACAATGAAGTTTATCTATTAAAAAAAGAAGTGTCTCTCTCCTTTATCCAATTGCTACAGTACCACCAGAAAAAGACGTGAAGAAAAAAAAACATTTTAAACATCTACACAGATGTTTAGTGTTTAAATTAGTTTCTCTATCGCCATTCAATAAACTTTTAAACTGAAGATGGGTCTGCAAAATGGCAACGTTAGTAGAAGTTATTGACTTAAAACAGGGAAAGTAGTAAACCAATTCAACACTTCATTTTAGCTGATTTAAAGCTTACCGAAGACAGTTCATCGCATCCAAGCAAACCGTAGTAGTCTTCCAGATCTTCAGGTTTGCAGTTCAAAATCGCGTCCATCTGAAGACAGGTAAGGTTTACCAACACTAATCAAGATACGCGTAGTTCAGTACCAATTGCTTCAAATATGAGCAATGAAACAACTTTACCTTAAACCTGCTAAATGTAGCCTATCTTATGACTCATTCCAGTTCTTTCACGCAACGGTCAGCTGATGCTTTTGAGCATTTTGATCCAGAGTTTATTGGACCAGCGACGGTGGGAGGAGAAAATACACACTGAAGGGGCTTTGACTTACATTACACAATGCAATTTGGGATATGTAGTCGAGATGTCCAGTACATCTCCTGCGTTGTATCTAGAACCTGTTAGTATTTCTATTATCCCGCTTCGTAAATTTTAAGTTAGGTCTTTTAGTTTACATTCCGTATATCAGGCAAAAGTACCGTAGAGTGTGATTCAAAATCTCGCATCTAGCAATCACTGTTTAACACCAGTATGTATGTTTTAGAGCCGATATCGGTGCACAAAACCCTTTATAGCACCTATCATCATCTAACCGAAAAAGATTAAGCAATAAGCAAGGTCCTTGATCATGATTAAATGTGATATACATCTTTAATTCAATAAATATCAGAGACACAGTCATCCCTGCTTTCCATACTTGCTCGCCTCCGAGCCTATAAAATAACGGAAGCCATTTGCCAACAACGCCTGTGCCTTTCAGGCAGATACATAACGCTTAAACTTAAATTTGGTTTGATGGCCGAGATGAATCATAGAATAAAGTTGCAATGGTTTTTAGTATGATGGATTATAGAGAGACGTATAGATAGAGAAAAGTCTTGTGATGAAGCAAGGCGTTATCCGTTAGATACAGCCACGGTACTACATTCTTTGTCAGCCCCGAAGGCGCCTGCGCAGTCGCGTCGTTCCGCCCCTGGCTCCACTCTAGTCACATGACATCGTTTGTTGTGGTTGACGTCATCGGCTGGTAGCGGTGTCGCGTGGGCCACCGCTGGAAGAGATCGAGTCACGTGGTCCGTTTAAATCTCCCATCAGCTGTCGTGCACGGAAGATTTCTATGGTCGAGTCTGAGCGGCGAGGAGCCCGAGTGAGCTAAAGATGGCGGACGGAGAGAATATCCTCCTAAACTCCAGCGCCAGTGGCTTCGAAACAGATGAACCTCTGCCTAAAAAGCCGAAGGTGGGATTGGCGTTTAGTTACGGGGATAAGGCCGCTCAGATCGATCAGGAGAGTGGGATCGGGGCCGGCGAGACTGGGGCGGCGGCTGCCGTAGCACCAGCAGCTGCAGCGGTGTCGGCGGCGGCGGCGACGACACAGCGGCCGGGGTTGGAGGAGGTGGTGACGGTGGGACAGGCCTCGGCTGCACCAGGAGGAGACAATGGGCTTCTGGGCTTGGAGCTGCAGGAGGGGCTGGGGGAGGAGGGAGAGAATGATCCGGTCGGCGGTTCTGCTGCAGAGCGACCAGGTACGGAGTTCTCCGCGATCGCTGCTCACTCCTGTCTGGTCCACTTGAATTAACGTGGACAGTCTAATACAGTCTGTAGAACTTTTCACAACTCTACCGGTGGATAAAAATTACATAATAAAAAAGTGCAACATAAATGCCGTGCAAGGGTAACCATTCTGCACCAAGCGTACCTATTTACCCGCCATGTACAAAAAACTCCGAAAACTTAAAATTCTGCATAGTCTATATTGAACATACATTTAATATAATATTCGTGATTTAAAATTGAGAGTAAAATTTAAGGTAGCATTTTTCGTGTATAACTTTAAGGATTAATATAGGGCCATGTATTTCTGAAGTGGGCATCGCAGTTTTGTACAGAAAATTAACTAATGCAATGATCAGAACGTGCACATATCAAGAGTATGGCAAGAAGGTTTTCTTACGATTTACTTGCAGGAAAGTACCAGTGCGTCTGGGGTGCATAGTATAAGGTTATTAAAGTAATTAAATAACGGTTTATATAGACGCTGGATTCTTTACCGAATAATCGTGATTTCCTCATACAATTTCACATCGAATTATACCCGTCTACTTGGCGCTTTATTATAAACTGTACAATCAATTAAAAAAAAACACCAGAATCAGTCACACCTCTTTCCTGTGCATATATAATTTGTAAAAAAAAATCTGCAGATTTCCTTGTCAGTCTTTCAATTTTTCAGACATGGCGTTGAAGATGTTTCCATTATTTTGTGATTAACTGATTTGTACAAACTCAGTTAGGTCAAGACAGAGCCGTGATTCAGTTTTCTTACTTTTGTTTTTGCTGACAGAGTACATTGATCTCAATGATGAGATTCTGCCCAATGGATTCCATTCCTACGATTGCGATGACGATGATGACAGATCTTCGCACGCAAGTTCTAGTGACTGGACACCTCAGCCCCAGATAGGTATGGCTTTTAAAATAGTAATAAACAGTTGTGTCAGTAACGCAGACATTGTAGTTTTATTCAGAAGACAAGAGTTTGTGTATGGGTTTTAAATTTCATTCTTGCAGACAAAAATGACAGTTGCATTTAATTTTTTTTTGAATATGAGATTCCAGTTGAAGTATTGCTGAAGTGGAAGACTGCTTTTGGAAATTAATTTAATAGGTTTAAGAGATATTAAGATTGTGTCAACTGAAAAATTGATTCAAGTCAAATATGTTTTGTTTCAGGCTCCTACAGTTTTATTCAGCAACACATTATGAGAGAAACAGACCCTCGAACGATTTTAAAAGACCTTCTCCCAGAAACTGTTCTTCCTCCTGATCTGGATGATATGACACTGTGGCAAATAATAATCAACATATCGGAGCCTCCAAAAAGAAAGAAACGCAAAGACATCAACACCATGGAAGATGTGGTCAGGTTACTGCAAGAATGTAAAAAGATTATAGTTTTGACCGGAGCTGGGGTATGTAATTATTAGAAATGTCACTGAAGAAATACTAGAAAGGCTGTGTTTGTCTTAAGAGCTACAGCGGAGTACATCGTTTCAAAAATAATGTAGACATAACTGTATAGCACATAGCAAATTCAGGCAAATGTTACTGGAAAAGCATATTGTGTAAAGCTTTTTATAATCCTATATGCCTCTCAGTAACTCTTAATATCACACGGACTTACTCCAAAACCTACATCATGAGCTTAAAATGGTGCACTGTTTTAGGATTGTTGGATGTTAAAATTTGGTTAAATAACTAAAAGCTGAGCAGAAATTCTTTGTAGCTGGGAGCTGAATCTCCTCCTTCATTGAATTTAATGGAATAATAAGAGGAAATGCTGTAATTGGGGAAAAAATGAGAAAATCTAGGTATTTAAAATTATTGTATGCGCAGAAGGAGCGGACACCAACAGGATTTTTCCTTCTAATGGAATCTTGAGGGTGTTTTCAGTAAACCTAGATATATCTTTCTTTAACATCATTACATGGGTCTTTTGAAATAAGTAATTTAGTGTTGGATTTTATGAAATGTGAAAAGAGCTGTAAACATTTCTTTCTGACTGCAGGTCTCGGTGTCCTGTGGAATACCTGACTTTAGATCCCGTGATGGCATTTACGCGCGGCTTGCGATTGACTTCCCCGATCTTCCTGATCCTCAGGCGATGTTTGACATAGAATACTTCAGGAGAGATCCGCGACCCTTCTTTAAGTTTGCCAAGGTTTGTTCATTTAAATGTAAGAGCGCCTTGCCTATGTCACAGATCGCTGCCGTCATTATTAAACATGCCAGAGTGACTGTGACTTGTGTTATGAATAAATATTTTATCATCCAAAGCATTTTTTGCTTACTTTTTTGGGAAATTGCATATTAACATGTACATGCACCAAAATCACTACATTTTGAACAGGAGATGATTAAAAGTATAAGAAGAAATGGTCTCCATTTTTGGGGTGTGTAAAATGTTCTAAAATTATTTGAAACATCTTACATTCTCTATCAAGGGCGGAGTTTTTGGGTTACTTACAGTGTGTTCTGCTCTCTCAGGAGATCTATCCAGGACAGTTCCAGCCGTCGCCATGTCATAAGTTCATTGCAATGTTGGATAAGCAGGGGAAGCTTCTTCGAAACTATACTCAGAATATCGACACACTGGAGCAAGTGGCTGGAGTACAAAGGATCATACAATGTCATGGTTAGTTTACCGTCCGTGATGCGTTTAATACATTTAAAATACAAGTCATGAAAATTTTCAGATAGTAGAGAAACCTATAAGACAGAGTTGCAGTGTCCGTGAAGGTTTTGGGGCCATGAGGTCTAAACTAGGATTTTTACCATGAACTCGAATAATAATTTTTCATGCAAAGGTCCAAATGAAAACCAAACAAACAACTCGTTGCTGAAGTTACCAAAAGATAGGGAGCAGAATAATGGAGACTGCACTACATGACGTGTGTGAAAGTAAACCTTTCATCAGCACCAGGAACAGGAAAAACAGAGTATAAATTGGTCTCAAGTGTAAAGGTGAATCACAAGAGTTTAGTAACTGCCTTATGAACAGGTGAGACAAAGATCAACCTTTACCAAAAGTGACGGAAAGGTAAAATTGTGGATAAAGAAAGGAACTGCAGATGTTTCAAAGAACACCATCTCATTTGGGAAGCAGGGCAGAGGTATTGACAAGCTACAGGATATTAATGCTCTGGAACTGGCTCGTTCATCTTTATTAACATGAACATTATTAACGACTAATAATGGCAGAAGTAGCAAAAAAGTCTGATGATTATAGGAACATTTTGTCTGATTATGTGGACATTCTTCCATACATATTGGGAAGCAATTCAGTATACAGCAAGACAATGACTCATGCCATATGGCCAATCAATTGATCATGTATTTCACATGCTGAAAAACCAATTGAAGTGCTATCAAGAACAGGCAGTGGTTGCAGCAAAGACTTGGCAAGGAATCTCAAAGGATTATACAAAGTTTGGGGAGTATAATAGGTCTCAGACTTCATGTAGTTATTGCCTTTAAGGGATATGCATCCAAATACTGTTGGCCACTTAAAACCACTGAATTGTTTTTGTTTTAACTTGAATATTGTTTGAAATGACCCAATAAGATACATAAAATGTTTTAATTTTGCTATCCTAATACTTCTGAAAGGCAATGTAGTAATAATTAGCTTATTTCCAGAATGTCTGTCTGGATGACATTCTAGAGCTCTGACTTTAAACTTGGCCAAGAGTTTCAAGTTAATAGTATTATAAGGAACTGTAGGTCCATGCATAATGTTAAGGAGAAAATTACTTCATATGCTGTCAATTCAGAAAACAACTGCATTCAATGAATTGTACCAGAGGCAATAAATAGTGCTATAGAATGTTGATTCTTTGAAAGAAAATAATCCAGATATATACCAGATGTTTTCTGATTGCCATTAAACTGTTTTATATCCGCTTAATAATTAACAGTGCATTAACATGGCTTTTAATTTTGTTACAGGGTCTTTTGCAACAGCGTCTTGTTTAATCTGTAAATACAAAGTTGACTGTGAAGCTATTAGAGAAGACATTTTTAATCAGGTATGGTTTGAACATACATTTGTGGTGCAGTAAGGATGCATTTTAAAATTACAACAAAGTTATTAGTGTAATTATAATTTTCAGTTGTTGCTAATGGATTAATAGTCATATTTCTTTGGCCATGGTGGTTTTAATGTAAATGTTACAAAATCTCTGGAATCCCAACTTTTTTTCCTTATGCTCCTAGGTTGTACCTCATTGCCCCAAGTGTCCACCTGATTTTCCTCTTGCCATCATGAAACCAGACATAGTTTTCTTTGGAGAGAACTTACCAGAACAGTTTCACAGAGGCATGAAACATGACAAAGATGAAGTGGACTTGCTGATTGTCATTGGATCTTCACTGAAAGTGCGACCAGTGGCTCTTATTCCAAGTATGTTACTAAAGCAGTTCTAATGCTACATCGCTTTGCTGGAAAAGAATGCTTTTGAAGGCTTCTAAGGCAATCCCAGTCTCACGCAATACTAAAGTAAAGCAGTGTGGCAGGAAGAAGAACAGTAGCAGTTTGGAGTAAAGGACACAAAGCAGCAAATCAAAAGAAATAAAGATGGTAAAAAAATAGAGGGAGGCCAGCATGAATTGTTCAAAATCCCCATTTTGCCATACTGAGTTGTATTTTCACTTCAATGAGAGACCTGGAGTTAATTGGCTAAACAATTTACATTGTACCCATTTCTGCTATAGGCTGTACAGTGGATATAAAACGTTTACACACCCTTATTCAAATTACAGGTTTTTGTGATGTAAAGCCAGAAATCAAGATAAATCATGTCGGACATATTTCCATCTTTAATTGTGTTTTGCAACCACAAGAGAAAAACACAATTATTACAAAAAATAATTGAAAATAATTCCTCTTCAGCTTTCTGACAGAGGTCAACAGGTGTTGTGCCAAAATATCTTGATATTTGGAGCTAGTCATTATCCCATCTATCTTGACTAGAGCCCCTGTCCCAACTGAAGAGAAGCAGCCCCAAAGCATGATGCTGCCACCACCATGCTCCACAGTAGGTATGGTGTTCTTTGGATGATGATGTCTATGTGCCAAACATATCTCTTAGAATTAAGCCCAAAAAATTTAACCCTTGTCTCCTTAAACCTTAAAACATTTTCCCACATGGTTTGGGGTGATTGAATGTATTTTTTTGCAAAATTTGGATGGGCTTGGATGTTCTTTTTTGTAAGAAACGGCTTCCGTCTTGCCATCCTACCCCATAGCCCAGACATGTGCAGAATACTCCCATATTGTGGGAGATTGTTGTCACATGCAAGAAGTGACCAGTACCTGCCAGAAATTCCTACAGCTCCTTTAATGTTGCTGTAGGCCTCTTGGTAGCCTCCCTGATACGTTTTCTCCTTGTCCTGTTATCAACTTTGGAGGGTGACTCTTGGCAATGTCCCTGTGGTGCCACATTTTCTCCACTTATTGATGATAGTCTTCACAGTGCTCCATGGTACATCCAATGCCTTTGTGAACTATGACTATCCCAGTAGGATGCAACCACGAAAGTTTCAAGGAAATCCTACAGGAACAGCTGATTTTGATTTAGGGTTGATCAGAATCACTTTCATTGATGGCAGGTGTGTGCTACTTACCTTTGGACATGATTCGAATGCGATTGGTTAACTCTGAACACGGCTACAGCCCCTTATAAAAGGGTGTGCACACTTATGCAACCAGGGTGTTGTAGATGTTTTAATTTCAATTATTTTTCCTAATAATTATCTATTTGTTGGTTGCAAGGTCACATTAGAGATGGAAAAATGTCTGACATGATTTATCTTGATTTCTGGCTCTTCATCACAAAAACCTGCAATTTCAATAAGGGTGTGTAGACTTTTTATATCCACTGTATATCAGTCTGAATTGAAAGAATAAAATGACAATCAGACAGTTGTTGTGGTAAATGCAGAAATGTTAGCATCTCAGATTTGAATTGTAGTATTTTAATGAGAACACTTAATTAGCCAAACAGATATCAAATGGCTGTAACGTGTTCTACAGGCCTCACATTGACAACCAAGAAGAAATGGCAGCCAGATAGTTTGATTTACACAGGCACACCACTTTCACATACATTAATCCTAGAAGTCTGCATTAGAATTGTGAATTTTAAAGTTATTTAGAAAGTGTTCATGTACAAACATGAAAAAAAAACTTGAAATACACCAAATTTCAATTCCATTGGTGTGACAGTGGCACAAGCAGGTCAGGCTGCCATCTTGCTGGATGCAAGACCCTGATTTTCATCACCCATTTAATGACTTCTCTGCTGTCAGTGTACCTGTCTAGTACGAAGCTGGTCGTCTGCCCAGTCTTCAAACACAAGCATTTGTGGAAGTGTGAAAAAACTATAGTTACTAGAGGATTCCATGCCTTGGAAAACACCTATTTTCTTTTCCCTGTTCCACTTTCAAACTTTTACCCAAAGGTTAAATTTTAATTTCAGTGTTTTGATGGGGCCCATACCATTTGATGAGTTATGCTATTGGGATTTTAAAAAAACACAGATTTTCTAACCTTTTTCCCTGCTAAGGTCCCTGAGGTCTTGTGAAGTTGACACATTTCATGCTCATGTATGCTCGTTCTTTACAACCTATTTAAAATGACCATTTCTACAGGAAAGTGGAAAAAGTAATTAAAGAATTATATTTTTACCCTGCTGTCATTGCTAAGTAATGGCTCATTTTGCTTTTGAAGTTTTTACACATCAGTTCCCAGTAAGTCTGTGAATTAAACTCTTTTGAAGGTAAACTGAACACGGTATTCATTGAAAGAATCTTTAACAGAGACCCTCATTCTACTCCATATTTATAGTGTTGGCTTTATGGTTATTTCATTTCCAATTTTTGCTTGTGTTATACAGGCTCAATTCCTCATGAAGTGCCTCAGATTCTGATCAACAGAGAACAGCTGCCCCATCTGAACTTTGATGTGGAATTGCTTGGAGACTGTGATGTTATCGTTAATGAACTATGCCATAGGCTAGGTGGAGACTATGAACAACTGTGCTACAACCCTTTAAGACTTTCAGAGATTACAGAGAAACCCCCAAGGCCACAGAGGGAGTCTGAACTACAGTTCTGCGACCTGCCACCCACCCCCCTCGAGCTCACTGAAGACTCTGGTTCCTGGGAACAGACAAGCGAGCCCACCCACAACTCTGTGGGAACTTTGGAAGAATTGACTGGAGATCGGTTATCGAACAAAGGAGAGCCTACCTCTGAGCTTGCAGTGGACAACGGGATGGAAAACTCCTCAAAAAGCAGGACTGGGTCTTCTGGGGACAGTGGAAAAACTGAACCGAATGAGTTGCAGACTTCAAAGACTGAAGATGCCCCTGGATTGGGAGAGAAAAATGCAGATGTAGAAATTCGCAAAAGATACTGGATGAGCAGATTTGGCAGAGAGCCAGTCAGCAAACGCCTCGACAGTAAGTCCAACCTCAATCAGCATAATATAGCGAACATTAAACCGACTGTCTTTTAGTGTATTGTCTGCTATATAATTAAAAATTAATTTATTTATAGTAACTCGAGAAGTAATGGCTTCAGTGGTTGATTTATCTTTTGGATAGTTTTGTTAAATTAACTTTACTGAGACCCTTAATCATATTTAATTAGTTGAGGAAAAACTCAAATATCTTTTTGTTCTTTGAAGGGAATCCACATTCTCTGCTTCCTTCCAGTTTCACATTAATTGAGCTGCTGAAAAAGAAGGATTTTAGAGCTTATGTCTCTAAGCCTAAAACCAGGGCTAACAAGTATATTGAGTGAGTGCAATTGATGTGTGACTGCTTTCAGTTTGACCGTGGCTGCTATGATTTAATCAATGGAAAGTCACCATCAAAAACTGAGTTTGGAATTCAACAACAAAATAAAAAACGGTATAATTAGAATCACCAGGAAAGTAGTTGATTAGTATTGGCTTCATAATAGGGTGAAATTTTAAAAGCAATCTTTTTGTTAATCAGTCACACTCCATCACAATACAATTCAAAAGCATTTATGAACACCCTAAAACGATTTTGTCTTGTATCCATCAAACAACTTAAGAACTTTAAGCTATCCAGCATTGTTGTCAAAGCTGATGTCTAGCCACATCCTGAATGGTGCCAGGTTCAAATCCTTGGGTCGATTAACTATTGGGAACCAAGAGCTAGATAGGTTGAATGGCTTCCTCTAATTTAGAACTGTTAGAATTTAACACTTGTTACTTTACCTGCAAGAGTTAATCTTATTGAGTTGTGGCGGCTGAGCAGCTCTTGGTTTCTTAACCACAGGCCCAAATGATTTAAGTTACTGGCATACTGAAATGTTTCATAGAATATTGTTGGCTCTATCACTCACACATTTCGATCTAGTGAAATATTTATAATCAATTGTAAAGAATCTGGAGCCAAATGCAATACTGATTCTTATATGGAACAAGTAATAGGTTTATTCCATGCTGAAAAAAAGAAGAAAGAGAACACAACGTTTCGGCCGTGGAGCCTTCTTCAGGTGTCACCTGAAGAAGGCTCCACGGTGTCACCTGAAGAAGGCTCCACGGTGTCACCTGAAGAAGGCTCCACGGCCGAAACGTTGTGTTCTCTTTCTTCTTTTTTTTTCAGCATGGAATAAACCTATTACTTGTTCCTTTGCAGCCTACGCATGCTGACGCAGCTACCCACCTGAACTACTGATTCTTATATATTTCACATACCGTATATGAACTCGATGCATAACTTCCAGAATCCAGTAATATATACACATCTTGATTATAAAATTCATTTTCTAATGACTGCTGTATTTTGCACAGTTCAAAATTGTAGCATTTTGTACATTGGGGAAAAAGGATATGGAATTATCATGAGAAATACAAATCCAATTTCTCATGTATTGTAGAGTAAATGGACTAAAATTCTGACATGTAAAACAATTAAAGGGATCTTCACAAAGGAAACAGTGTCAGAAAAAAGGCGTTAAAGGAATAATTATTTGAGTTTAGCGCTTGCGCTTGCTCACTGTAGTTTTGGAGTCAGGAATAGGCACCACGTCACAGTCATACAAGGTTGCATGAGCAGTCTTGAACAGTCAGTGAGCACAGGTCATAAAAGAATGTTAACTTATCCAGATTAATCGGTCAGTTAATCCAATAAAGTCATAGTTGATCTACAATGAAAATCGGTTCATACAGGCTCTGTAGGATCAAAGTTCCTGACCGCTGATCCAGGAAAGTCCCACTGGGGAGCACGGTTCAGCATGGTTATCTGGAAGACTATTCAAAGCATTTTCGGCCCGAAGCATTTTTTTAAACCCACCAAACTGCATCAAATCTATGCCGGTGCAACAATGTCATTAACTTTCATTCTTCTGTCCTGCGTTAGATTCACAATACCTGTTCCAGGCACCAAATCACTACATTTTCCAAGGAGCAGAAGTCTACTCCAATTCCGAAGATGAGTCTTCGAGTTCCTGTGGAAGTCACAGCGAGGAGTCATACTGCAGCCCAGGAGAGATGGGGGAGGACGACAGCGATGGTGAAGAGCTCTATGGCCGATTAGAAGAGGCCGAGGATGGAGAAGAGTGTTTGAGGAGCAATGGAGAACAGCTAGAAAAGCAAACCAATGACCGGGAAATCCTGAAAGACAGTATAGCTGAGGATGTTACAAATATGACACCGATGTGATAAAATCCAGCGCCTGCTTTTAACTGCTACCTGTCCACCAGCGTTGGTAGTCTTTACTATGAAAGTGTACTTCATTGCTTTCAGACAGCCTAAGGAGAAAAATAACCTAAAACAGAGCTGTCATGAACCTTTTGTTTGGGGGATGGCAACTTCATCAGGGGGCATTTTTTTTTCCTCAAGCATTTAGATTAAAGATTGTAGCCAGTCTAGGTCTCACATTAAGTCACCATTCATGTTTTTTTTTTGTCAGCATGGTACAACACATTTGATTGTTTTAGTTTTTTTGCACTTTCATAATTTCGTTTCATCTCCCCTGTAAGATTGTAAGCATGCCGCTAGATAGCGAATGGCAAGCATTTGCTTTCAGATTTCTTCCGCTAACGAACACATAGCAGCTTAATCAAAAACAAAACAAAGCCATGTCATTGGCAGCAGGATGAAAAAGGGAATGGCAACAGTAGACCAAAGAACAGGGTTTTTCCATACCAGAAAAAAAGATGAACTATACATTTTCATTAAATCTTTGTCGCTTCTGGTCTTTTGAATTTCTAAATATGTCAACAGAAACACTGGCATTTTTTTCTAAAGACTTTGGCAGCTACTTTTTATGGTAAATATACTAGTATTGTTATTTTTGTATTTTGTGATACTCTAAGGCATACTCAGCAAGAGTAGGTGACTGGTTTAAAAAACTGTCTTTGAAAATATAGCACTTGCAGTTTGTAGACATTTTACGCCTTATATGGATTTACAGAATAAGCTGACACTGTGTCACTGATTACTGTGTCTGAGTTTTCCTTTTAAAACAAACAAATTCCTGTGGAAATGCAGTAATGGAATGTTTCTCCAAAGTGTCAATAACACCTTTTGGATGTGGACTTAATTAGCACAGCTAATAACGTGACTTGTAAAGTGTTTTGGAAACATGTGCCTGCTTTCTTATCTTTTAATATAACATTGGTGGCTGTAAAGTTGTGCTTAAGGATGGCCGTCACTGTGGCACAAGCTCACATTAATGTTAAAATACACCTTCCCATAAAGCATTTACACTGCCAAAATGTAAATTATGCAAGCTTTTTTTTCCCCACATATTAGTGAGGTTCTTTTAGGATTAACATTGTGAAACGTTTTACAAGGATCCTGTAGCTGCAGTGCTACGCAGATTCACAAATTCTCCAATTTTGTCTTGGGAACAGCAGACGAGCACAGAACAGATGTGATTGTGGTAGTGTGGCATAGACTGGAAATGCAGATTTGCAATTGGGCATCCAGGGGGAGACATGCATCATAAGAATCAGACCTCATAACCATTTGTTTATGATCCAGCATGTGCATTGACCCATACTCAATGATCAGCACATTTGCCAAATACAAAAAATAGCCTCTCATATAAGAGCATAAACATCACTTATATTAGCCTTCTTTAAGAAATCATGGTACTTTCAACATTTGTATTAAGAAATGTATGTATGGACACACTAGAATCAACCCCTTTTTCTGTTTTACATTGTGTAATTTATTTTATTTTATTCCTTTAGGCAACACTAACATCCATGCTCAGTTGCCAGTTACAGTTTTGGGGTTATACAAGTTTTTTTGAGTCCAGGAGTTCCCATTTGTTTCCTTTTGCTGCATTGAAAAAGCCATCTTTCCATTTCTGACATGCATGAGGCTACGAGTCACTTAGGTTCAAGAACCTATTGAAATCACAGTCTGGTTTTAAGTTATTTTTTACAAAGAGACTTTCTTTATTGCTACTTTGTACTGTATATATGTTTTACATAATCTACTGGTGTAGATTTTATAGATACCAACTAGTTAGTGTGACTTCAACTTCTCTGCAAAATGTTTAAAATACAGGAGCAACATTTTCTATTGTTCTGTTATTTTTTATGTACGGTTTCAGAAATGGCATGGCAAGAAAAGCCCCTTTTCCAGCAAGTTTATAAAATGCATAAATTCTATTCTGCCTTTCTCTCGCTCTGTTCTGTCATGCTTATCATTTATGATTTGTCAATGAGTTTTATACAGGTTAAGAGCAACTTGTTCTAAAGCCCGTCTTGAGTTATACATTTTTTATTTTATGTAAACCAGTATAAAGCAGAAGACATATTTGAATTTGAAATATAATGCAATAAAGTGTCTTGACATATAAGCTTTGATGTGTTCAGTATTCTTTTGCAGGATGGCGTTGCAGATGTTAAGTCTTTCTTTACCAACCTAGATATTCTCCTGTTTTTAGACTATCATCTTTATGATACTGTAAATTCACAGAAGTAAACTAAGCTTGGGTTGTCAGTTCTGTCGGAAGTGTAGGATTCGTGGAGATGACCATCCCTTTGTCTTTAGAATATTTATCTTTAATTATTATCCTATCACACAAGCCCTCCTAAACCTGCTCTTTAGGATCCCAAAGTCTTCTATGTTACAGTATATTCCAAATGACCAATTGGTGAATTGGTAGGTTGAGCTTGATTGTTAACCTTAGAGAAATGTTCAATTTAGAGTGTCCTCCTGATAATGAAATATTTCACTTTTCTGTGAACAGAATAATGGAAGACAACTTTCAATTTAAACTTGAGAACTCAGTTCAAATTGTATAAGTCAGCTGAAACTGGAACATCATAGACAGTGGAAGGTCTGAATAAACAAAACTCCTCAGTTAAGTGGGAAATGGAACAATGAGGATTATAGGGTCTTATAGGGTCAGGTTTGGGCAGCTTGGTTTTTCTTACACACATGGTGCCCAAGTATATTCCTCCCAGGTCAAAATCCTGCAGGTTGTGTCAGACTCTACAAATCCATCCATCCATTTTCTAACCACTTTATCCAATACAGGGTCACTGGGGAGCCAGCACCAATACCTGCAAGCAATAGGCACAGTCTGGACAAGATGCCAGTTCATCACAGGGTACACAATCACAGCAGGGCCAATTTTCCCAAAAGCCAAACTGACCTATTTTCAAGGTAGAATACAAACCAGCTGATGGTCTGACTTTCAAAAGCAGGACATTTTTGGATGGCCAGAATTTGTTTATTCTCTTTTAATTACCATCAACACAGGGCAAAGCACATAATCCCAGGTTTATTTAAGAAGGAGAAAACTCCCTCCTTAACAATATACACATTATGGAGAAATCAATTACAAAAGCACTCTTGCTTTGTATTCACTATACCTTAGGTACAAAATGGTTCCCTGAAAAGGATACATTCTTTAATCAGATTTGTTGTCTATTTGCCTTAGTAAATATCACCCTGTCTAAACCAAATACTGCCCCATTTTAAAAAAAAAAATGTTTTTGCACAGTATTCAGGTACAGTATAAAATGCACCGTCTTATTTAATGGCAGCCAACCAGTAATTAACCTTCTATTTATCTATTCACAGCACATTTTGAGTCATTGGCATATAGTAGGCTATAGCCTAGAAATAATCGGTATTTTGACTGCTTGACCAGTTCATTATCTAAACATCTAGATCACGATTAATTATTTTTGTCATATAATTTAAAACAAATTCAAAGTGTAATTTATTAAACTATTTTTTTTAGAATGTATCAAGATTAAATTTATCTTGCCCACATCATTAATTTAATCCTAATTGATTAAAAGAAAGATTACTAGAATTCCGGGGAAGACAAATGCTTAATTCCTTAATTGTGCTACATAAGGATAGAAGTATTTCTGAACAGTAAACTACGTAGCGCAGTTCATTTTAAACAATAAGGAACATCAAGGTAATTATTCCAAAACACGTTGCACAACGGCCAAAACGTATTTTAAAATATTTACAAAGGACACGAAGTTTACTCATGTCCCGATTTAGCTGTCAGTTTATTATCAGAACCGTACAAACAGCATAATGAAACCACGAGGAATTAGAAAACAATATGAAGATTAATCTCATAAAGGCTTTTTCATCTGAAGTAGAGAAATCTGGAACACGTCGCATTGAAACAAACAAAAAAAATATCTTACCTGGTGAATGCCTTTTGGCACAGGAAACGTCAGACTTTCACTAATCTCCAAACAAACCCTTCAGACCGCAAGCACTGCAACCCTTACGGAATTAACCATCCCTAGTTTCAGGATTCAGTTTCTAGATTCTCGAGAGGAAATCGAATTAAATCACTCGCAGGTGAAGCGTTTTTCTGATAACGCGAGTTTGCGGGAGCCAGCATCAACATACACGCACCTACTATCGCAGGGTTGTCGCCAATAGCACAACATTTACCTGGCCTTCAATATAACACTTCAATCCCAGGGACTTCTTGTCACATTTAAAGCTGCGTTGTTGTTGAAACTTTTCCCGCAAAGGTTTAAGTAAAAGGTTTTAGTAACTGGAAACCTTTGCACATTAGAATGAGTAAGAGCTGTTCCTGTGTATACTTACTTAAAATAGACACCTGCTGTATTCAGAACACTACACCTTCCTCAGTTCATTGGTTAAACTTCGACGGACTTTGAGTCTTGAGTGGCTGTTTGTGGCTGTCAATCATTTTTAGTCTCGGATACATTTTAGCCACCCTGGTAAGTGTCACTCGTGTTATGTCCCCGGTCACGCCGTAACATAACAGCTGGGTTTTTGAAGACTAAACGCCAGGGAGGAATGGCAGTCAGGCTATTACTGAGAACCTCGAGCTATGCCGTGCGTTTGGCGAGATTAAATACCATCCCTGGCAATGCCCTGCAAGCCATGGGCACCTTAAAGGGTGGGTGTCTTTCAGTGTAGATCGGCATAATTTATATTACTTGTGCAGTGATCAGTGTTGCGAGCTACACGTCTTAATATGCATACACCTTCTTGGGTAAATACAGTATGTGGCACTGTTTACATCTGGGAAATTACCATAAAGTAATACCATAAAGTGACTGTGGTTAAAATAGTAAAGAATAGCCAAGCGAAAATTCTGATCTTAAACCTTTACACTTCTACTGTAGACAATGACAGCCTTGTACTGTTCGCACGTAATTTACTTTACGTCTCAAAGAAACTGCGATTAAATTTAAGATCGATAAATGTCGTATATTTAAATAACTTTTTCGTAAAGTAATTTTAGTGAATAGTGAAATGAAGGTCATTGAGCTTTTATTACAGCACCAAAAAGAGCCAGAAAGTACTGTATGATAGCAGGTTGTGTCCACTTAATAGCAACGCAAAACCTTGTGTATCGAAATATCATGTTATACAGTAGCTGTGGGTTTTGTTGTCCCATACAGCTTGGAGTAAACATCAACACACCACGTTATTTTGCAATATATATAACAAAGTATCAATTTCAAAACCAAGCATTCATGTGTTTTTTTCCCTTTTATCAGCAAGATGGACATTGCTGACCACTTTTTATTTCACACACATGCAAACAATGTCAAATAAAATTGGATGTCTTTCAAGCATCATACAAGGTATCTTTAAGATGTTTGCGAGGAATTTTTAGAGCTTTTTTTCTGGGCAATAGTTACAGTAGACCTACAGTATATTACCCAATTATTAGCCCTACAGATCTAATTTACACCTACTGTACAGTACAGCTAACATCAACTGGAAATCGTAAACCTAAAGTTTCTTTGTGCTTACACTTTACATTCAGTGTCAATAACAAAAATAATTTTCCCTAATCTTTTTACCATCTTCTACTTCTCCATAAACTGGTGTGTATCATTAAAAGTAACTTTGCTCTTTTATTTTAAAGGAATCCCAACTGATGAATAGCAGGCTACAGGACTGGAACGGCAAGTACTTCAGGCCATGAAGAAAGGACAGGTACAGAATAATCACTTTACAGAGTTCCTAAAAACACCAAATATCAAATTGCAATACACTTGGTGCTTGTGGAGATGCACATTTCTTCTATTGTGTAGAATTTCCCCATCCTGGATAATGTAGATTACCATCACAAGGATTCAGAGTTTACATTTTCAAAGCTGTTTACACCACTTACTTTACATGACTAGGATACTGACATGCAATTTCTAAATAAAGAAAACAGAGAAAGTGATGGAAAGTATTATTATTCCTTCCTGTTATTTTGGAAATAATGCACACTAAATTTTCCAAAGTGGTTGATTTAAATAATATGTACAAGTATACAGAATACAGTATATGTACAAGTGAAATTTCCCAGAGATGAATGTATAAAGCCCTATATCATTAATATAATTGTTATATAACTAAGCTCACATCTACTTAGGTTAGATAGTTCGAAAGAATAGAAGAAAAATGTGCTACCATTTAGTCTTTCGACTTTGTTAAAACATACAAAAAATATCAAACACATATAACAGATAAAGTATGTTGAACCTTTAAATTATATCACTACAGATTCAGAAAAGCAGTACTGCAGAAACGTTTTCAGTACACCAATATTTTAAAATGTCATATTAACAAATGAGTTTACAGGATGTTCAAGTCGCTATTGTTTTTACTGTTATTTAGAGTGGCCTTTTGTTACCAAACACTTTCCTCCTCTTCTCACACAGGACCCCTACAGCATTTTCAAGCCCAAGGAGTATGCAGGAACCAAAGAGGATCCTCACATCGTTCCCTGCATTGGCAGCAAGAGACTGGTTGGCTGCCTCTGTAAGCACTGTCAGATTTCATGTCTCTTAACAGAAGAAAATATGTTTATTGCTAGGAAATGTGCAGAAGAAAAAAAAAGTCAATTTTACTCCTAGGGACGCGTTTTCAGGTTCAGGATAGTCTTATTTTTAGGCTACAAAAGAATTTCAAACTCACATTCAATTATATGCACACAAAGGGAAACCAAACCTCCAAACCAAATTAAACACTTCCCGGAAATTTCCTGGAAATATGACATCACAAACTAATCCAAATAATAGATGTTTTTAAAATGCTCCACCCCAAAAAGGCCATTTTAAAATGAGGAAAAACGATTCAATCTAAAAAATTTTAACCCACTTCTTTTTTCAGGTGAGGAAGATAACACTGCCATCGTGTGGTTCTGGCTCCATGAAGGGAATCCCCAGCGCTGCCCCTCCTGTGGTTCACACTAGAAACTGGTTCACCACGAGCTGCCACACTGAAGCAGGAGAGACCCTTCTTTATTTGGAATACAAGTGCTTCTCTGCATCTCCACCATTGATAAAAATGTTTGAAAATTTGTCAATTTTCTGGCATCTATATTTTGCTTAATTTAAACTAAAAATATTTTACAGAGTCTGAATTGTCTCCTTGTGTGCATGTGTGCCCTGGGCTGGAATAGCGTCATTTGAAGGGGGCAGTCCCTCCTTGCTTCAAGGATAGAGTAGCAGGTATGAGTGGCTTTACCCTAATGAATTCATAGTTTACATTCAGTAGTAGTTTTCTTTTTAAACAGGATTAAAAACATTCCCATGTTAACATTTCCTGAGTGATTGTAAATACGCTTTCCTACTACATGTGCTTACTGGCATGGATATAATTTTAAACATGGGTGGGTATGCAAATTTTTATCCATAGGTATATATTTTGTACCAACTCAAGCAGTCCATTAGCACAACTAAAAGTAGGCTTAAGTGGAGTATATAACATTTAGATATCACTTTTCCCCACATATAAATTGACCATTATTCTGTTTTAAATTTCTGTGTACTTTTTTCCGGAATCCACACAAATTCTTTGTGCAAACTGTACTGGGATACAATTCGAGGATAATTTATAGTTAGGATGAAATGTACAGAAACTATACAATTTTATTAAAAGTGAAAACGCTGTTGGCATTTACAACAATTGACGGAAATCAGGTTTGTCCACGTATTTTAGCTCATCGCACCAGTTACTTTTCAATCTTTTGCCACTTTATGTAATATAAATCTGCAATATTATTCACACACTCCAACACGTCTAACATTTTAATAGCGACCCCAAAAAGGAAACTTCCATTTGAATTGTACTCAACGTTGGCTCAAAATTTTTTTCCAGAACAGTGTACATGGTCCTGTACAAGTCTGTAAAAAGTTACACACAAAAATAAGCTATTACATTCATTACAGCAATACGTCCAGGAAGATCAGTGCAGAAATGTAACTAGGCACTGTTTAAATAAATGCTGAATTTGTTTAAATGCAGAAGAAAAAAAGGCTAAAGGGAGAAAACGACACATTGACACTATACCAAAGCAGTGTTTATTCCAGCTAGAAAGAAAAGGACCTTCCTGTGTCTTTAAGAGGAGAAATCCACAATAATAATGCTTGTAGAATCGACTTGAACAACTGGTCTCCGAGGTGTAGACAGAAACCCTCCATGGATTTTGCTTCAGATAGTCCACTTGACCTTAAGGCATCTGATCTTTTTAACAGTTTTTCTTCTCACAATCTATTGAAACAGTTTTTTTTAAGTGCCATCTAGGCCTTTTCGTTTTTTCGTCTAAAAACTCCAGGGAAAAATGTGTGTCCCAAACTGAAATATTGTTTTGTTTCTGCATGAGATGTTCTCCAATCTTACACTAAGTTGAAGCCCTCATAGTGGTCGATGGCTTGAATGAGCTTGCTCTGTAGTGTCTCTCGATCAGTGTACTTGGGCAGGTCAAGCAGGTTGAAGCAAGTGTGAGCCACTGGAAGGTAATGGTCTCCTCCTCCTGTGGGCTGGATCACAAGTTTGAGGCTCTTCATCCCCATTATGGGAATGCGGTCACTTCCAGTCAGAAACACTGCACATCAGACACAGAACTGTCACATGAGGCTCCACAATAAAAGATTCACAGACAATGGGATACAAATGTTCGTTTAGTGCATTATGATAAACAAAAATGTTTTATGATTAAGTCTTGTATGGTTGATACAAAAATTAATTTAAATTTTGGGACATTTACAATTAAATATAATCACACTAGGATCACTCATTTAATGTTCACTTGAGAAAAAGAATTGTCATTTTTTTCTGTTCTATACTGGTCAATGCCAACATATCCTAAAAGAGCAGCTTCCAAGAGTTTACACATTTCCTTCACATCTCTCCCTAACTATCATGAAAAATCCCACACATTTGAAAGAACAAATCGTGACCAGTGCTACATTTAATAAACAGCTATAAACTCATATAAAACATGTTTTGAAGCCACTGAAAATAATTTTGTAGTAAAGTGATTACAGTAAATGGTTTGTTTACTATAAGTTTGTACGATTAATAATTTTACCTGCCATCTTACACACAATGAGTAAATGAGCCAATACTATGAATTGTATTCTGACACTATTCTTGATTTACTAATGCATCTGATGTTCTTCATTTTGTATTATTAAAATTTTACATGATAATGCTATTTAAAAATAAATATTCACAGTATACTGTACAAATATACTAAAACATATTGTAAATAACTAATTTTGTGAGGATTAATTTATGGTGATAAATTCTCTAATGGCCCTGGCCAGAGTGGCTGCTGAAACAAATAGATATTTAAGGCACTAAGTTAAAGTAAGACAAATGTTTAAGGCTCAAACACTGAGTATGAGGTGTAATCTTGGTAAATTCACAAAAAAATTAGGATATTTGAAGACTCTACTTTTGTAATAAGGTTGAAATAACGGGTCAGACGTGCTGCATTATTATTTGACTATAGCTATTGCAATAGGATATGGCTGTAGACATTTTGTATAGAACTTGGTGTTAGTGGGAGGGGAGTTTGACACTGATGTGACAGCAGTAACACTTACATAGAAACTGCTTCTTCTTCTCTAGTGGCAGCTCATGGAATATTTCCCAGAAGAGCTTTATTGTGGGGTGCTCAGCCCAATACTCTCCTTTATATTCTGTGGCCTGGCGAAAGTAGAGTAAAGCATGACGTTAAGCATAAACATTTTTTGAAGGGTAGATAATTTAGGAACATGAACTTATGTAGAATATAAATTTTTACATTTTTTGTCATGTACTGTATTTATTATCCAATCTAATTGGTTACAGTCAAATTACTGTGGATTCCACCCACTAGAATGTTTAGATTGTTTAAAATTCCCTTATTCAAAAACTTTAAATCAAGTAGTACCCATCTCAGTGAACATGTAAAGTTTTTAATCCCATGTTTACTACTGTATTGAAATCAGTTAGGTTTCATTCTTGCCCAAAAACATGCACAAACCAACACCACATTTTTAGTATATACTGTAATAGTCTTCGGTAATATTGCTTGCCATGATAATGATACTATACTATCTATGTCATGACATACATGGAGTGCTACCTACCTTCTCCAGTTCCTTCCAGTCATAATTAGTGTTTCCAATGACCATTGCCTGAAGCTCATTTGGCTGGAATAGCTGCAGAACTTTACCACCGCATACTTTATGGAATCCCACATAGAAGGCATCGAATAATGGAGCCACAGACTTATTAAAGATGTAGTCAACATAGGCATTCACAAACTCCTGCCTAAGAAATTAAACAGAGCAAAGCACATGGTTCTTTTCCAATACAAATATTTTCTGATAATTATAGGTATTATCTCCTGTAACCGTTTATGAGGATAATCAAGTGTGTGACACTGTCCTTATAATTTTATAAAATAACATATTGTTATGTGCCGGGCATGTATGAAAATGCTTCCATTTTATATCACAGTACCCCCCTTCTGTAAGAAACAATAGACCTTTTTTGAGTGCTTGCACTGTCATTGGTCCTTGGAAGAGCCAAACATAGCTAGGCAATAGGAATAATTTTGAACTTAAACGAGCTGAAGATAAATCATTAAGAAAGCCTTCATATGGGAAAGTAGGCTTCCAAGGCAGCATAAAAAAAGACTATACCTACACAGAAATAGAGAAGAAAGAACAGGGAGAGAATAGGGAATTTGAAGTAAGAAGTGAGAAGAGAGGAGTGAGAGGAGAGAGGAGCACCATGAGAGAGTTCCTCCTTTAAAGTAAAAACAAATGTTCAGGAAAGTTGAGCACAGAAGAGACTGACTTTGTGCTTTAGAAAAGGGACTGCTGATTTACTATTTCCACTTGTTTAGTGATGTACTGTTTGAAATGGGAAAATAGTTT